CCTCTTTTTATCATTTTGTTTGAGACAGGATCATTCTAATACAGTTCAGGCTGGCCTTGAACTCCTATCTAGCTGAGCATAGACCCTCAACAACAGTTAAATAGTAAGACAAAGCAAATAACATCTAAAATGTTTGGCGTGGAAAAATCTTTAAATTGGAGCTTGGCAGACATTACTCAAGAATGTTCTAGTACAACACTGAGGAACCCTTAAGAAACATTCCTGCCTGAGAAGGACAAAAGAAAAACTTGGAAACAGAACCCTTTTTCTGGCCCTGAGGATTGAACCGAGAGAGTGCTGAGGTACATCTCCAGCCCTTTTAAAACATTTATCTTTTTGACACAAAGTTATATACTAGGAAGTCATCTAGCACCTGTTTGCCACTTGTGCCCCGGGAGTTTTCAGTTCCTGGAATTTAAAAAGTCTGTGCCTCACCAGAGCTTCAAATAAGCTATTTGCTGAGTCTCAGGTTCCATCCTACCCTACAATCCTGTGTCTTTCCTGACCCCATCTCTTGTACTCTTTAGCTCCTGGTCCCCTCCCCGCCGATTAGGGATTCCTTATTAAAGCTCATGAAGCTAAAGACCATTCCTAACATCTTTCACTGTGACTGGCACAGTAGAAAGAGAAAATACATTCAAGGAAGATCCCTGTGTTTCACAGGTAGTTGGACATTAGCAGACCCGAGAGAAAAGGGAAAACCTAAAATAGCATGCTGTGCCAGTTACAGTTAAGAAACAAAGACCTCCATAAACAGTACTTTAATCATTTTCTAGCTCTCAGACTTGAACACACAGGTTATTATCTAGAACAAGGCACACACTGTTCCTGGCTGCCAAAGCCTCCAGCCCAATGATATAAGGAAAGGAAATGGTCTTTAAAAATCCTCCCACCATGGGCTGGGGATTTAGCTCAGTGGTTCCACTCCCTGCTTTTCAAGAGCAAGGTCCCGAGTTTGATCACCGGAACAACAACAACAACAACAAAATCCTCCTGCCTTGAGCTGGGATCTAGTTTAAGAATCTTTCATAAAAATTCCAAAGTCACTTCTTAGAAAAATGTCAATATGTATCATAATTGCCCTAGTTCCCTGGACCTCAGGAATATCTTCTGTGCACAGAAAGATACCCAAACTCGAACTTGGGCACATAGCTTCGTGACATTGTCCACCTTCACACTATAGCAAATTTTTTGTTTGTTTTTTTGAGATAGTGTAAGTTTATAACTATGCAGCTCAGGCTGGTCTCAAACTCCCAGGGTTTCTCTTGCCTCAATCTCTCTAGTGCTGGGATTACAGGTGAGCATCACTACGCCCACCTTACTCCAGTAAATTCTACCTGTATTTCTGCTGGCAGGCTGTGCATTTTGACTGAATTCTTTCGTCAAGGGTAAAAAGAACCAAGATTTGCCAGTGCCAGTTTCTTTTGGCATCAGTACCTTGCTTCCGGGTTACAACTGAAGGCAAATAGGACTGAACAATTTTGCACGAGGTAACACAATGCCAGCTTTGATTTAAAATCTTATCTTCCAGAATTAAGGATTATTTTAATGTTACATCATTGCCTTTTCTCTTTTACTTTCCTTTTTAGTTTTATTTTAGGATTCCCTATTTTTAATGTTCATACAGAGATTTCTTTAACTGAAATACCGAATAGTTTCTTTGGTGTGAAAAACTATAATAGTACACAGGATCCTAATGAGATAATTAATAATGTGAAATAGGAAGTAAAGGGCTAAAGGTGTAGGGAAAGTGGGAAGGGTGGGGGAAAGGTAATAAGGGAGAGGAAAAAAATATGAGAAACTGAAAAAATGGAAATAAGGTGTTTGTAAATGGGGAGGGGAGGAGGGGGTGAAGGGAGGGCAGGGACAAGGGGAAAAAATGAGAATCAAGACCTATTATGTAAAGGTACAGAATCCCAATGATGAATGTAATTGTATTGTATACCTAGATTGTACCAATAACCTCAATAAAAAGAAACAAAAAATCTTGTCTTGGGGCTGGGGATTTAGCTCAGTGGTTCTGCCGCCTGCCTGGCAAGCTCAAGGACCCAAGTTTGATCCCCGGTACCAAAAAAAAAAAAAAAAAAAGATCTTGTCTTGGGCCAGGATTTAGTTTAGTGGTTCTGTGGCCTGTCTCCCAAGCACAAGGTCCAGAGTTTGATCTCCGGTACCAAGAAAAAAAAAAAAAATCTTGTCTTGCTCCTTTGACCTGGAGCCAATAAACTCTTCAGTCTTCTTGTTCTGTATTGAATATTGAACCCCTAGCCTTTGCACTGAGCTATATCCCGGGCTCTTTTTTATTTGATTTTGAGATAGGGCCTCACTAAATTGCTCAGGCTGGGCTGGATCTTGTGATCCTCTGGTGTCAACCTCCTGAGTAGCGTTCGCCCTAGCATTCAAAGGGGGAGTAATAGAACCTCCCCTAGGGCAGTGCGAGCCCGATGAAACTATGTTAGTGAACAGCTTTGGAACCCAGGACAAGGCTTGCCACAGGAAGGTTCTGTACTACCAAGAAGCCCCGCCCCTTTCTGCCCTACATGACGTCATCCGCCGAGGTATCTAGTGACGCCATCTCCGCCCGCCCCACTCCAGCCTCTTCTCCGGAAACGTACGACTCCTGGGACGGACCTCCAGCTTTCGGTTATTTTTTCTTCCTTCGCATTCTTCCACCTAAAAGCTTACACTCTTTCCGTCTGCCTTCAAGTTAGCAGTTTTCGATCTTTGTCGCTTCCTGCCCGGCGAGTTCCTCAAAGTCATTTGCCCTCAGTTAATTAATCGCCTCTCAACCCCATCCGTTCAACTTGTCTTATTACCCCAGCTCGATTTCTTTCGGCTATTTTCGCCTCTACAGCCGTCCATCTTCGGTTCTTTTCGGATTATTTTAATTCCTCCGTCGCCACAGTACCCATCCGCTTCGGCTCTTTCCGGCGCCCCTTTCTTTCTCTAGCCCTACTCCTATCGTCTTCGGCTGTTTTCCATCTTTTGGCTTCACGTACCTCAGGGGCCCAGACCATCTTCGGCTGTTTTCGGCTCACCCAGCGTTCTGCTGCCTGCTCAGCTGCTTTCGGCTTTTCCCGTATCTCCTCGGTCTCGCCCTTGCCTTTCGGCTATTTCCGCCAGCCTTCGGGTGAGCCGTGTAGGCTCCGCTCCTCCGCGTGACTGTGCCCGGGCCTCCGCCTCCCAGTTCCTCCTCCCTCCTCCGCCCTTCCTCCCGCCTCAGTCCCTGGGCTCGTCCCGGTTGTGCCGCCATTTTGTGTGAATTCCTGACTGCGGCGGGGGCCGGGAAGCCGGGGCACCAAGGGCGGGGAGACAAGACAGTCGACCGGTCTCCGCGGCCCGTTTCCTCTCTCCCTAAAATCTTTTTTTTTTTTTTAACTTTTTTTTTAGTCTCCCCCTCCCCTCGCTTGCTCC